AAAGAAGATAATTACTGGAAGGCCCTGATGTTACTTCAAAACTTTCCATTAGTTTTACACTTATTAACATCATATGGTTTGTATTATAGCCATCAAGGTTGATAAAACGAATCGCATCTGTATAAATCTTATGGATTACTGTTTGGTTAACGTTAAGGTTTTTATTAAGAATTGAAAAGACGTTGACACTGTAATATGATGCGTATTTTACTTCAAAACTTTCCATTAGTTTTACACTTATTAACATCATATGGTTTGTATTATAGCCATCAAGGTTGATAAAACGAATCGCATCTGTACAAATCTTATGGATTACTGTTTGGTTTACGTTAAGGTTTTATTAAGAATTAAAAAGACGTTGACACTGTAATATGATGCGTATTTTACTTCAAATTTTGATGAGGATATTTAAAGATATAAAATAAACATGCTCTTGCGTTACGATGTTTTGATTATTTTTAAAGCATACACAACCACAATGCGAGAAAACAATAACTAGGGTTAGAAAACTTGGATATTGGAATTTTTATTATTTACTAAACTAAATATTTTCCTTTGTTGACGAATACTTCGTAGAATAATAACAGGGTGTTAAAATTGTCTACACGAAGACAGATAAAACCTACTTTAGTCTCTATTTTTCGTTCCTTTATCTCAACTAGATTTGCTTGACAAGGATCGTGAAGTGGGAAGTTACAGTTGATAGTCTTATAATAACATTTACTGGATCAACAGAATCCATTACTATAACTAGGGGGGATACAAACATCAATAACACACGTTTTCTTATTCTTATCGTTCAGCAGGATTAGAGTGGTTTCAGGGTAATCTGCCCCTCATTAGTAAGCTAATAAAGAAGCTACTCCAAGAACACAAGGCCACAAGTAATAACGGAATTAGGCTTTCTGTGTGTGATGCGTACAATATGGTGAGTGAAGGACATTACACTTGAACAGCTATTTACATTCTGATAATTATAACACACATTATTGATAATTTTCCAGTCACATACCAATAATTAACATTCCTATATGTAACAGTCACAAATAAATAGGTATTTACATAGACCAAAAATGACCCATTCATAGCACATCTATCTGAAAAAACCCAATAAATTATGAGTTTCACCTTAAAAGCAAATATTCCCGCTTGAGTTTGTGATACGCCCTCTAGTTTTCCGGTAACCAAGTAGCCGAACACAAACGAGGAGCCGGCATCAGTAAATGACAAAAAGGTTTCGACCTTGTCTCCCAAACATTTAAATATTTTTCTTCCAACTGGCAACCGCAAAATGATGAGGCCAAAAACGAACTGTAGCATAACACCCCATAAAACTTGTCTCCAAATAATCTGAAAGAGAGTAATCAAGCTTTTAGTAACAGGATCGGGTTATAAATACATTAAAAGTATGTGTACCCACAAAAACTTAACACTATACTCTTTTGTAAATATTAAAACGCAAGCCGTGTAAAAGAAAAACACTACTTTCAAGTGGAATTTTCTTTAACTACTAAGAGAACATAAATTTTTCTTATTTGTCAAGTTTCTAGTCAACTGTTTACCAAGTTCGCCAAAGAAAATGACGATAACGCTCTCAACAAGAGGAAACCTTTTCGTATATCATGATTCTCAATCACCTGTCTATCAACATTTACTGGTACAAACTATATTCTTGTCATTGGTCGAAGACGAGAGGGAGGGGCGGAGCTCTACCTGCACGCATCTAAGAAACAAACAATTAACTTTATATGGCTTTACTTATAGAATACTTGCATCTGGGCCGGGCGTAGTTGTTGAAATATGGATTTGGGATTGAAACTCCTGGGTGTTCGGAAATTATACGTGACGTCAGAGGTATGTGGAGAATAATAAAAAGTCTGGGAGTCAATAAACCCAATGAAAAGAGAAAACTGACTTTCACTAGATGAGCGCTGTAAGTTGTGAATAATTAATGTCCACGTTGAAACTTAAAGAAAAACAATTTGTTAAAAGATAATTAATGCCGGGAATCGAACCGGGGTCGCCCGCGTGTGAGGAGAGCATTCTATCATTGTACCACCGATACGAACTTATTAATTTGTTTACGTCGGTATATTAACTTAAATTAATAATTGAGTTATTGTTTCAAATTTATTATTTGTTTTTAAATTGAATTCGAATTTTCTTCACATAAATCAATACTTTTACTAAAACAATAGCTAGTAACAAAAGTAGCCCTTGGACCAATACAACGTGGTAGATGTTACAGAATGGAGTTAAAACATCAGATGTGAGTTATATACAAAAACTTCAAAGTAAATTTATTACTCAAATAAAATTGTAATTGTAATGATACAACTCTTATTATGAGAGTATCTAGCTATAGCAGGGTATTCAAGGTTACAGATATATAGGTAGATAGATGGGCAGATATATTTTTATTATCTGTACTACAAGCGAATCAACATTACAATGTTCTCTAATGGCAGTGGTTGTTTAGGTTTTTCTCGAACGGCTGTGATTGCTGCCTGTCCGCATTCAAGTTATTTTTTCAAGTAATAAGTATCTATAAAATATTTGTCTTTACTATTGTCTTGAAGTATTGAAGACATAGTTAATATAACTGGTTTAAAAGACGATTTAGTTTAGAGAACAGTTGACTTACGTTTCTCCTATGGGCTGAAAAGATATAGCCTACAACTAGTAGTACAAGAAGTCCTCCAGCAGACACAAGTCGTTTCCGGTTGTCTTTGGTGTCAACGATCAAAAACGCAACTAATCCCCCAAACACAAAAATCCAGGCCACCCTAAATTAGATGTGGAACGATTCATGATAAGTTGTTTGAAACAGTAAAACTAAAGAAACTCGAAAATTTTCCAAAGTGAAAAAAAATGAAAAGTTTACTTCCTTGGAATGAAGTATAAAGCTCTTCTTTCCAAGCTATGTTTATTTATTTCCAGGGAAATAATAAAATAATACATCTATTTATGTGTACAAATGTGATATTAAACTATGTCCTAATGGTAAGCTTGCTCGGACTGTGAATCTAAGGATTTATTGTTCGCGATCCGTTTTCCCAAAGACGCGCTTCTTACTTTGCTGTCGTAGATGTGTTCTAAGAGTGACCAGCTATTCGGTTGAACAAGAATAGTCTAAAGAGTTAGCGGTAGGTGTCGTTAACGAACTGTCTTAACTCCAAGTTTACCAGTTCTAAATGTATCAAACATACTAGTATAACCCAATAACAGACGTTGATCAGAGTGTAGATGGAACTGGACCTTCCTTGAACTTAGACTTCGAGATTAAATAATTTTTGGTATACAAAGTTTATTTATTAGTTCTAAATGTAGGGAGGGCTATGTACAGATAGCCACTTGTGTGAGACTACAAATATTCAATCAAGTCCACGTGTTAAACTTAGCTGTATAAACAATAGATTAAACGTAAACCTCAATTATATTTATATGCAATGATAGCGTATAATAATATTTCCTAAATACCTAAAAAGGTGGGGACATCATTCAATTTTACTTTGGAGTTCACATTTACGCTTTCTTACAAGTTTTCGTATTCACTCAGGTCGTTCTGGAATTAGGCCTGGTTTTCAGCTTCACCGCTTAAAGTTAAACAAAGCAAATGTCTCGTCTGTTGTTTTTTTTTACGTTAAAAACAATAAAAAAAAAGATGTACAAATTAATACAGAGGGCGTTGAAAATCAATTTTAAATGAAAAGCATATATTCGGTTGCAAGAATGTAAACATAATATCATTAAAAGAACTGTATGAATTGCTCGGTGTTTCTGCTTACATATGAATATATATATATATAGTTTGCTTCTACATCGACTCTGTTTATTCCTTTAATTATGAAGTTCGCTCTGAAACATTATTTCACGTACTTAAACCAAACTTGCCATTTCACAAAAAAATAAAAAAATCGAGGACTCTTCAGAAAGCAATTGACCCCCCCCCCTCTCTCTCCTATACGCTAGTTAGAAATAAAACACTGCCTACAAATTATACTGTTATTAAATAGCACAAGATCAGTTGGACGTTAGTATCAATTGTCATCATTCCCGCATATAGGCCTTACCTGGGATTCGACTTATTTACGAAAGTATCAGGTTTTCAGGGTAAAAAACGTTACAACCAATTATGAAAGAATCAGGTTTTCAGGGTAATAAACGTTACAACCAATTATGAAAGTATCAGGTTTTCAGGGTAATAAACGTTACAACCAATTATGAAAGAATCGGGTTTTCAGGTAAGAAATTTTACAAGCAATGACAGAAGTATCAGCTTTTTAAGTTAGAAACTTTACAACCAATTATGAAATTATCAGGTTTTCAGGATAAGAAACGTCACAACCGATTACGAAAGTATCAGATTTTCAGGATAAGAAACGTCACAACCGATTATGAAATTATCAGGTTTTCAGGGTAATAAAATTTACAACCAATTACGAAAGTATCAGGTTTTCAGGATAAGAAACTTTACAACCAGTTACAAAAGTATCAGGTTTTCAGGATAAGAATCTTTACAATCAATTACGAAATTATCAAGTTTTCAGGGTAAGGATATTTACAACCAATTAAGAAAGTATCACGTTTTTAGGATAAAACCGAAAAATAATGAATTTAATATGTTGTCAAAAATTAGGTACGATATTACAAATTGTATCATGTGCCCTCGACTGATGGGGAAAATTGTCATTATATATATATAAACCAAAACAAATAATATAATTATTTCAACTTGCTTATAATAAGACTTAGTGGTACGCTTGAGGGCTTATAACGCTAAAATTCGAGGTTTGATATCTGCGATGGGCACAGCACAAATAGACCATTGTGCAGCTTTGTGCTTAATAACAACCAAACATAGAAACTTACCATGTGTAGGGAATCCTTCTCACAACCTTTGCCATAAAATTAAAAGTAGGTTCAAAAACCCAGCGCTTGAGAAAGAGATAATAGAGCATCAGAAAGTAAGCCACTGCAGTTACAATGACTAAAAACTTTACTCCGTCACACCAAGTAGACGTTTCTTTCCAGGATAAAGAAACAGCAAACCCTAAGTAGATGTTATACAAAACAAAAATCACTCCCAGCAAGATTCTTTTACCATTTTTTTTCACGTAAGGTGTAACGTGAATCAATATTCTATCAGTAAAACTTTTGGGCCTTGTTGCCTGACGTAGGTATCCTGTTTCTACACTGTCAGACTTCTCATGAGATTCAACTGTCTTGTTAATATCATCCGTCTATAATAAAGGGGAAAAAAAACTTATCAGAAAAATGTATTAAAAAAGAAAGAAAAACATACTATTTTCAATACTACTAAGAAAATTTTTTTGAAACGTAAGAAATTTCGATATCTTTATGCATATAAAATAATCTGAACAGAGAGATTAAGCTTTTAGTGAAAACCACAGTAAACGGAATGAACTGTCAGAAGTCTGATATCAGAGAAATTAGTTTCAACACATTCGTGCGTCCTCTTCAGTCTCACAGTGTCTTCTGGCAGGAAACAAAAACTGGTCAACAAACGCCTGAGTGACCCCTGATCTTGGAATTCCCTTAAAGACACGGGAGGTCAAAAAGTTTGTTCCGTTTACTGTGGTTTTTCACTAATTGCTATACATGATATTGTGTTCTTATTATTATTAAGCTTTTAACCCTGTCTGTGAGGTGATCAAGTTAAGCCGTTTGTTTCATAAAAATAAATAAATAGTTAAAACCGCATAGGCGACAAAGATATCGAAATAAAATAATAGGTTGAACAATCGCCAAGTTTTTGTTATATTTTTATTTAAAGAAGGATGATATTTCGATCTAGTGCTCTTCATCAGATCGTACAACTTACAATAAAAGCGCATGCGCAGAACTCAAAGAAATTGAGTGTGTAGTATTTGGTATACTGAGCGTGAAATTTCTGAGCAAAATTACATATTTTACACAAATATTGCAAGTCATGAAGAGATAATACAGTTAGCAATTTAAATTTAAACAACAACAAAAAAAATCAGAGAAAAATGAAAATGTATTGGAAAAAAAGTGTTCACTTAAACCAGATGGTTGTAGGATCCCCAGATTGTATATTAATCTCCAAGAAGATCG